ATCAGATCCAATGGCCATGAATAGTTTCTGAGAGAGGGTCCTGAAGTCACAAACTAAGCTTTACACTATTAATTTGTACTCAGCTATGTTGAGAAAGCTCCTGATGAGAAGGAAATGGAAATAGAAGTCTTCCATAATAGGGGGTTTTATGCCAAAAGATTGAAGCAAATGACCTCAAGAATACATGTGTTAACTTGAGGCAATTTTTGATGATATTTAATGCATTACCAGCTGCAAGGAATTCAATTTTCTCCTCATCCTGAATAGAATCTCTGTCAGCATTTAAGAATTCTGAGGCACAAATGAGTTCTGCATGAATTGTGTTTAGCAGATGATGATTAAACACAGTACATGTTGCTTTGTAATAGGAATGCTAGTTTAATCTTCCCTCTCTACAGTTCTGGAAGTCAAAGAACAGTTTCTGGGCTGTTAATTTATATTAAGTGACATAAGAACCTAAAAATTGAGAGTGGTGAGGCACTGGTTGAGGTTGTCCAGAGATTTACATCATAAGCAACTGCTCCCTAGAAAGAACAGGAATCTGGCACACTGAACTTTGTACTCAAGACTGACAGTGATTGCCATGCCTAAAACCAGTTATAACTGCCCAGAAATTTCTAACAGTACTGAATTTAAAAGCATTTGCTAGAAGCACAGAGCATGCTCAGACATGAAACTTTTCCTATTTAAATGTAAACATGGATGTTTGGAAAGTTTAGGAATACTCAAATGGACATGGTGACAAATCTCAAAACATTTGGAGCCATCATGCTGCCCAAGCAAACTAGCACGTTTTTATTATGCTCAAAAAACCACTTTCTCCTGTTTCATCTATCAATCTATTCAACTGACTGTAACCACAGGGTCTGTATTTTCAGGAGGAAAATACATTCTTGCAACATGTTTCAAGCTTGTTATGGACTTCATCATTAGAAAACTTTATGGCCCAAAAGGCATAAAGGCAACTAACAACTCAATCAATTAACACAACACTACATTAAATAAACTACAAAGAACAACTCCTCAGCTGGGAGTCTACCACCCTGCCACACCTGTCTGCTCCAGTTTAAAGAAAAAAAAAGTGCAAACTTGTAATTTCTCCAGAAAGCAAGTCTGAGCGACATAGGATGGAATAAGGGAGAAGCAAGTCAGGAAAGGCCTGACCAGCCACAATTTTTTATAGGTAAACTGCCTCAGCTGCTCAAGAGGCTGCCCAAGCAATACTCACATTGAACTCATACATACTCAAGACCCCCTACAACTGGCACAGAGATTTGCCTTTGTTCAGATTCCCCTTTCCTGTCTCTCAACTTTTTCAAGACACTTCAAAGAAGATCAAAAAGCTTGAAAGAAGCCCAGTTGTTTAGTCTACAGAAGAGAAGATAAATGGGAGACCTGGTCTTGTTCTTCAAAGACAAAGCAAGTTGGTACGAGAATGGGACTAAACTGTTCACCAGGTCTGATGCAGACATGAAAAAGGAAGCAAGATTTAAGTTTTGGAAAACTTTCAAGTAAGAGTAATAGACTGAACAGGCTGCCTTTGGAGGCTGTGGAATATCCATCACTGGAAGGTTTTAAAAACAGGCTAGGCAAACATCTGTCAGAAGTCATTAAGTTACAGTAGATGAGAAGATCTTTTGCTCCTCTTCTGCTAAGGTCCTTTTGTTACACCCAGCATTACAAACCCAATCACAATTCTGTCTTTTACATGCCTGTGTTTTATTTAATTTAAAAAACCATGCAATAAAAACCTGCCCTTCTGTGATATTTCCACATATTCAAGTGTGTTTATTTGGGACAACATAATAGACATGAAAGATTTGTTAAGTGTGAAAGCAGGATAAAGAAACCACCTGTGAAGTAAAATACCAATGTATTAAATTTACACTCACTCTGAATAAATTGACCTCTAACATCATAATGCAGACAGCACAGCATTTTTTTGTCCTCCAAGAGAAAAAACTGTTCAACTGGTGACTTACTGATCTGCAGTCACTTCAAAATTTTCCTTAAAGGATTTTTTTAAAGAAAGCACTTCTCCCCAAGCACAGAGAAATATAAAATTCAATATTACAACATATTAATAGAAAAAAGACATCAGAAGGCTGCTTTGAGAAGTATCCAAATCTTTTTAAAACTATATTAAATTATGAGCAAGGATGGCTTCCATCATACTGGAGAAAAAAAAAAGCCATTGGAGACCTTTTTCCTCCCCCTGCTGTTTAATACTAATGTAACCATGGAAATGAAAAATAAACATTGACTTCCCCTCACCCCCAGCATGACAGGATATTTAACAGCGGAAATGTTTCCTGGTGAAGGTAAGAACCATGCAGGTAACTGTTCAGGAGAACACAGGGGTTTCTGGGGGTCTCTGCTGGACTGACATCACACAACTCACACCACTGCAAGGAGGAGGAGGTGCTGTTTGCTTGGCTCCCATCTGATGCTCCTAGCAGCTGCCCTCTGTGCTGACTCCTCCCTTTCTCTGTGCTGGCTAGCATTTTACCTTCTTTAGGTTTTAGGTAACACTCCCTTAGAAGAGACAAACATCAATTAATAGCTGTGACATAAAGCAATCAGATCATAATCAGGAAAGTTCAAAAATACTGTGGTCATTACCAGATCTGTCTTTCTGCACACCTGACCAATCCTTCTAATGACAACTGCTTTACAACATTTTTTTATATAGGTATTTCCCAAGCATGTTCATAGGAACTTGTAAGGTATGTGGGATTTGTAGGCACACAATAACAATTCTTTTTTTCATTCTTGGTCTAGACAGGTCTGGGATAACATTTATGTCCTATTTTGCATCTCAATATGTGTTATTTCTTGTCAGTTCAAGATCCACTCTTCAGTCTGATATCAAGTTTTTTCAGAGTAACAAGACATCCATAAAATTATTTATTCTACTTTAATGGGGAAAGGGCAGGGAAGCTGCAAAACTGAGTGGATTAAGAAAAATCCATAGACTGTTTAACCCTCCTTCAATAAAGAGACCCTAGGTTAACTTGCCATTATTAAATTCATACTGAATCAGAGTTACAACAATATGAAGGCTATATCATCATACCTTTCTGCATTAGACTTATTTTTCAGATTGTTTTCCCACTCAAATATGCTTCATTATCAGAAGCATCAAGTCTTCAAGGCTCTAGGCAACTTGAGTCTTATTATTCCAATCTGATGGACTATTTTAAGATTTGCACAGATTTTTTTTTTTTAGCAAATACCCTTTTCCATTCAATACCATTTTCTTCACACAATCCACTGCTTTCAGTCTGGAGAATCAGTAGTTGTTTCCTTCCCTCTCTACATTTAAAGGTGTAAAATAAACAAAGATACCTAGAGCAATGTATGGAAAATATGCATCTAGTTACAACAGGAAAGAGACATTCTAGAGCATAAACATGCTGAAACTAGTTTTAAGAATAATTTCTGCCTTCAACATCTTGGACCTTCAGGATTCAGTGCTGCTAAAACATCAAAGTAACTCATATTGCAAAATGTTCTCCTAAGTCAAAATTACTGCAACTGGAATATATTGTTAAGGAGTGACCAGGTGGAGAGATTATGATGAAGTTGTATTGAAAAGCAATGACCCTTGAGGCTACCTAAAAATTTACAACACTGCCCCCCTGCACAAATTAAGTCAAAAACCCCCAAAACCAAAACCCCCACTTTACCAACCATTTGGCAAAGTTCTTTCTGTTAGTCATTTCTAAGTCCTTATACCTTTTAGTAACACCCAGTATTAGAAACTCAGGCTTCAGACTTTGGTTTTGCTTAATTTTATAATTTGGACTTTTTTCCAACAGGGTGTAATAAAATTTAAACATAACTGGAGGATAATATAACAGGTGAATGGCAAGGACGTATCAAACTGGGAGGCTGTATTTAATCCCTACTGCCTCACCTTACTGCAGATTCCACCTAAGTATCCTGAATCCCAGAACTATTTGTGAAAAGCAATGACTTCACTTAAAAGAAAATAAAAATCTCTGAGTTAAAGAATCAGAATGAGCAAGAAATGAAAGTATTACTCAGTTTGCAGTAGTATTGCCTTTATTTTGCCAGATGCTAAACCCAGCTCAAGAGCACTTATTGATGAGCCCCAGGTACAGGACTATCTGATTCACACAGTACTGATATATATTGATTTAATACTGATAGAAACCCAATAGGTACAGTGCTTCAGGAGTGGTGCCATAGGCTGGGGGGCTGTGGACTGGCAACATAACCAAAAGCGCATCCTTGTGGATCCAGTGCACGCGTCCCTGCACGGAACACGTGCTGTATGTCAAACCTTGTCAAACCTCTGCTCAGGAAGGACCAAACACTGGGTTATGCTCTGTCCCTCACTCAAGGCTATGCGCGAGTATAACAGCACTTATACAATTAACCAAAAGTGAGGCAGCATCTACGATTCCTTTAGCAACAGCAAACGCCAGTGGCTATTCCCGTGCATACACTTTCCGGCCCAACACAGCATCTCCCGGCACAGCCCACGCCGCTTCCAAAGGCCATTCCAGCGCCAGCACTGAAGAAAGGACCGCAGCCGCTCGGAGACGAACGGCAAAGCGCGGCCCTGAACGTGCCACGCCGCCCTGCAGCCGGAGCGCACCTCGGGCCCCTGGACAAAATCCCTGGGATGAATTAAACCACGGCCGTGACGCCGCTTCCTGCGGCTCGCCCTCCGATCCCGATACTCCGACACTCCCCCACGAGTGCGGCCTCCCTGCGACCACCGCCACGGGGCACCCGCGCTGGCCGGCGGCTCGCAGCAAATTAGCAGCAGTAAATTAGCAGCAGTAAATTAGCGGGGCCCCGCCTGGCTCCCTCCCACCCACCGCGGGGAGCTCGGCCCGGCCCGGCCCGCGGGGCACCCATAGCGCCGTTTCCCAGCGGCTGGCGAGGGAGCGGCGAGGCGAGGCCAGCGGAGCGGGGCACGGAGAGCGCGGAGCGGGCCGGGCCCGCGGCCCCGCCGGGACACTCACATCAACCGAGGAGCCGCCGCCGCTGCCCGCCCGGGCAAGAAGGACCCGCTCCCGGGGCTGCTCCGGCGAGCGCCTGACGTTTGCAAGCAGGCGCCCGGGAGAGCCTCGCTCCCCCAGCACGCACAGGGCTTAGGCGCCCGGAGCACTGGCAGAGCACGCACACACGCGGGGGGAAAGGTGTTAAACTCTCTCTCTTTTTTCTTTTTTGGTTTATGTTGGGTTTTTTCGTTGTGTTTTTCAATAACCCTGGGAAAAAAGGAAGCTCAGGCACTGTGCAGGTCGCCCCTATGGCCCTACAGCGAGCGGCTGGCGGGGAGCAGTGACATCACGGGGGCGGGCGGGGTGGGGCCGGGGGCGGCGGCGCTGGCGCAGGTACCTCCGGAGCCTTTGCCTTCCCTATTTCCCGGTCCTCTGCCTTGTCCCGTCCCTCTATCCTCACCCGGATCCCCATCCCCTTCCTCTATCCCTCTCCTCTTCCCGATCCCTGCTCCCATCCCCATCCCCTTCCTCTATCCCTCTCCTCTTCCCGATCCCTGCTCCCATCCCCATCCCCTTGCTCCTTCCCCTGCCCTTCCCCATCCTCTCCCCGTGCCCCTCCTTTCCCCAGGGTCTCTGGCCAGGTTGTCTGTGGCAGCGCAGGGGTGAGCAGGGTCCCCAGGATTTCCGTGAGTCCTTTAGAGAACCGGGCAAAAGCGATCTCTCTGGTGCCGGGTTTGGTTCCTGAACAGATGTGTGTGTCGGATAAATCAAAGGGTGACAAAACTCATTTTAGGTCTTCGTTAGGGCACTGATGTAGCAGAATTCAACTTTTCTTTGATACCTATTCTGCATTTTAATAAACTTGGTGAAATCACTCAGTTTCAGGTTTTTTTGTGAACTAGCGACACTAGTTAGACTTGTATATTCTACTTCAGTTATTTTATCAAATTAATAACTACTGTAGTTGTAGCAGGAATATTTTAAGAGTTAAGAGCAAAGTTATTTTGTGGAAGGATTTCTTCCAATGAAATGGCCCACTTTGTTTAGCGTACCATGATTTAATGGAAAAGTGTTAAGTATAGTATGTTTAGGCTACCTGCTCTCCTGAAATTGCTCTCAATTGCTTTAAAAATAATTTAAGAGCAGTATAATTATCTTTTAATTCAGAAAAGCTGCCTTCATAAGGTAAGGAATATTTGCACCTGAGTACTCAGGAGGCATTTAAGTCAGTAGGCATTTCAAGTTCCTAAAGGGGCTACTTGCCATTATTTCTGCATGTGGATGCTTTATGAATTTATAGACACGTTTCACTGGATGGACTCATTCAGGTTGATCTCTTTGTATGTGCGGTATTTGCTTCTGAGAATCGGATTTTTTACGTTTTGACTTTTTTTTTCCCTAAGGGCAAAGTTCTTAGTGTCCCTTAACTCAGTCGCCTTAGCACTGCTGCAGTGAGGAAGTTGGAAGTGGTGGTTCTAGAAAAGGCTGATGTCTGAAGAAAAAACATTTGCTCTCTGAGAGCTGTACATATTTGGAGGAGCAAATAAATTGCTCAATAGGTGGAGTTCCACTTTGTATTTTATTTCTCATGTTGGGACACCAAAAGGTACCTGCTGCAAGATTTTCAAAACAGTGCTAATTTGAATATTGAACAGGAATTTCTAAAGGGTTTTTTTTTTTTTTTCTGATTTTGCTGAGAATGTTGGTGAGTGTTTTTGTGTACTATAAAGGTTTGTAAGGAGGATATGGATGAAGGTAGGGAGCTGGGAAAGGCTGTTCAGAGGTGGGATGCAACAAATCCACTCCTGGACTTCTAACCTTCGTGCCAGGCACGTTTCACAGATGTGACAGACTGCCTCTCATATATGGAATGAATGCTGCTTTGGAAACAGTGACTCAGTAATTTTAGATGACACTAATAAGACAAGTCTTCACTTCCTCTTCCATCCTTGCTGGTTTGGATTATTAGAATTGAATTTCCAGAATTCAACCCCAAAATTGAATTTGCGTTAACTGGTTCTGGTGTCAGTTTAAAATAACAAACCTTTCTTCTTCTCTTCCTGTTTTTATTTCAAAGTGATGGGGAGGTTCTGCAGGATATAATTAATTCCTTCAAATCATAAAATTAATGCAGTATGTGTCGTTTCTATACAGTGAAAGTGATTTTGAGGTGTAGAATTGTGTGCATTGAAGTAAGGACAATGGGTAGCACTCTCCTGTGTTTACAGTTCTGCCAGACTTTGATGTGGAGTAAAAAAAGAAACCAAAAACAAACAAATAAACCCCCTCGATTTAAAAATAGAGAAGAGCTTTTCTTCAAATGAACTTTTAAAATATCTATAACCATTGTTTTTGAATTTAGAAATGTCAGTAAGTTTCTAGAGAAGTGTTGAGACTGAAAAAAAAATTGTTAAAAAACCTCTTTCATTTAAGGTGTAATATGTGTCCCTTTCTAAAGGCAGTGGAAGGCTTAAGTTTGGGGTTACTTGTTTTATTTTTCAACTCAGTCTCTGGAATTTATGTAAGTTGAGAATTAAGGAGAGATCAGAGTTTGGCTGTGGGGGTAGCAATTGAGTGGCTGCTGATATCAGAGAAAGCCTTTTTCATTGCTTTCATGGATTCACTGTAATTAACTCTGTAGTAAGAGGATGTGTTTTGTTCCATACCTGTTAAAATTCCTTATTAATTCCTTTAGGTGGGTGGCAGGAAGGGTTGTTTGCTTATCTCATGTCTTGCTTTTTGCCCATCTGGTTTCCAGCCAAAGGGGTGAGTGATAGGTGTGCAGTTGCCTACTTGAGCAAATTCCAGGTGCTGTAATTCCTCCTCGTAAGCCAAGTGATCTGTAGGTTTTGCTAGGAAAGTTCAATCACTTAAAATTGATGGGTTATTGAATTGATGGGATTTAACAATTCTTTTTATTAAAATTCCTTTCTAAGTGTCAGCTGAATGCAAATACAGTGTATTAGAGAAGTATTATCCGACAACATTTTACCTCAGTAAATATATTGTGCACTACATATTTACCTTCTTCGAGACATGATGCATCTTGCATAGGCATAATCTTACTCCCCTCCCTTCCACTCTAATCATAATAACTTGGTTTTCTTCTATTTTAGAGCAAGCCTTAGAGGATCACTGTGCCAAGCAAGGTTATAATTGAATCTGTAAACTCAGTTATTTTTTCTAAGTGTTTAATATATATTTTCTTTCTGACGTTGAGTAGTTTATTTGGCAGATGTTTTTACAGGAATGGGGGTTCTTCTTATAAATACACACTTATGGGTTTCCAATTGGAACCTGCTACATGCCAGTAAATCTTTGTGCTTGCACTCTGTCCAATTGGTGTCTTTCCAGTGGAAAAATCTAACTGTAATGTGCATTGTTCACATCCTAAAATAAATCTTCTGCAAAAAATTATGAAATGTCCATGAGATATGAAAGTATTGTATCTTTATAAATAAGACTTTTAATGCAAATACTAATATAAATATTCTGATGGTCAAAGCTATTTTGGATTTTTCTAAGTTTGATTCCTTAACACTATACATTTGTATTCAATATGATTTATTTTGATATTTATTAGAATGTAAAAGTACATACCTCATGTCTGTGTTTCTTTAGGGGAAAAAACCCACAAATGGAATCGGTCTTTTATGTTTGCTTTGTATCCTAAGTTGGACTGTGTTAGTTAAAACAGAAGGTATCTTTCATAATATCCATTTGCATGTACCATGTTTAGTATATAAGGAACTTTGTGCAGCCTGTGTGGATTTGCTTTCAGTTGGGATTCACAAATAAATTTAGTATTTTTTTACTGGGAATTTTGTGCTTTGAACAAGATTGTTCCCTTAGAGAAAGAACAATTTTGAGACCAAATTAAGTCTTCTGTTTCTCCTGTGTGAATTCCTGAGGAATTAAAAAAAAAAAAAATCTTAATTGCATTATTTTGTAAACACCTAGTAACCTGAGTCTGTATCTTTTGCTGATGAATTTTTACTCTGTGTTCTCTATTTAAGGAACACGAATTGCTCGGAAGGGCTTAAGACTTTGTGAAAAAGATGTTTCCTTTAAAGGACACTGTGATGGGTGCCTCCACCTTCTTTGCCTCAGCTCTGCCACACGATGTCTGTGGAAGTAATGGCCTCCCTCTAACACCTAACTCCATAAAAATTCTGGGCAGATTTCAAATCCTTAAAACAATCACCCATCCCAGACTTTGCCAGTACGTTGACATTACCAGAGGTAAACATGGTGAGTGTCTGTTTAACAAGCAAGTTTTTTGTAAGATTACGATTTTGGGTTTGGGGTTTTTTTGGTGACAATATATTTTAAGGTGACTGAGCAGAATACTGCCTTTACAGCACCAGCAAGTGGCCAGTTTTCAGTCTCAAAATTCCTGAATATCTTTGCTATAATTGGTGGTATTGGCTCTTTTGCTTCTTCTCTGTAGACTCAAAGAAGAGATTAGTCGTCTGTCCTGTCTTGTTGTGTTTCAGTAACAGGTAAAAGCTAAGAATGTCTTTCTTTTTATACCTTACTGAGATTCTTGAACTGAATTGCTCTGCCATGTCTTTGTGTGGAGTATGGAAATACATGTATTTTTGATGGTGAACTCTTGTATTTGTGAGCTGCCCCATGGCAGGAAGGAAATGATGAATCTGACTTCATGTTCTTGGAAGGCTAATTTATTATTTTATTATCTATATTATATTAAAGAATACTATACTAATACAGAAAGGATACAGACAGAAGGCTAAAAAGATACTACCGAAAAATTCGTGACTCTCTCCAGAGCCTCGACACAGCTTAGCTGTAATTAGCTAATAAGTCAAAAACAATTCACATTAAACCAATGAAACAACCTCCAAACCACATTCTAAAGCAGCAAAACACAGCAGAAGCTAATGAGATAATATTGTTTTCCTTTTTCTCTGAGGCTTCTCAGCTTCCAGGAAAGAAATCCTGGGCAAGGGGATTTTTCCAGAAAATATGACTGTGACAGTGAACTCCTACATCCATGTTCTAATCTTGTGAACATTTTCATGTGATGGCTGGGTTTCTTGTCCTTGATTTGCAACCGGTGTTATCATCTCATGTCCTGGCTGCAAGCTTCCTGTATTATTAACTTTTGATTTCTTTAAGATTTCTCCCACTAGGCGTTACTTTATTCTAGTACAGGTTTGAAAGGTTTTTTTCAGTACCTGTTATCACACTTATGATTAGCTCAAATAAAACTTCTGTTGCTTTTTTCTGCTCTAGATATTCTGTTGCAAGCTCAGCAGGACTACAGCACTTAATTTCCACAAAAAGGCTGCAACACCTGTAACAATTTAAGTCATTACCACCTTTAACTTTTAAATCAACACTGTTCTCGTACAAAAGTGCATTGTATGTATTTGATTACCTACAGGCTCTCATAAAGTAGGGCAAGTCATTTTTTCCCCTTTTAGAATGCAGTCTGATGAAATGTTGCAGATTTCTACCAAATTAGGATATTGCCAACTCCAGATACTGTAGTATTCTGTCGGTCAGGGGGTTCTTTATGTGTTTTGCTTTGCCCTCAAACATGTAATTTTTCACTTATGCAGTCAGGAGGTCTAGAAAATTTAATAATTTTCATTTGTTTTCACTAGTACTGCTTGAAACAAAACCTGGGATTTTCTTACAGTATTGTTTGGGGTGAAAGGTTAGGAAGTATTAACTAACATAACATTTAATAAATAAAAAATAAATAGTAAAACATAGTCTTTTTGATTGCAAAAAGTAAATTACATGAAGATTTATGTGTGTGTATAAAAATGAAGGAAAAAAATTAATTCTTATAGTTGAAGTAACTTAAAAGATAGTAAATAAAATGTCTAACCATGAAGTCAGGAGAGTGTTCTGTTTTAACAATCACTAGAATAGCAGCTACGAATTTTGATATAATATGGGAAATTTGGCAGCAAATTTTATTGTTCTGATACTGGCAGAACTTTCCATGTGTCAGTTCTATGCCCAATGATAAAATGTTTGTGGAGTTCTGCTTGCAAATGTCAGTTTACATTCTTGCAGAGAAATGTGAGAGCAGACTAGGAAAACAATGTAAAAATAAATTAGATCTATAAATTCCCCCACAAAAGGCTTTCAAAGGGAGAATATAAAAATAAAAGAAAAACATTCCAATATATTTTCTTCTATAAAATTAAACTTTTTAAAAATCTATGCTACCATTGTAGATGGCAATCTGAAAATTTTTGTTAGGAAATTACTGGATGTGTGGATTGTTGGATTGACAATGCTTTGCAGAAGGAAACTGGGAAGATAATTTTCTGTATCCCATAAACAAAAAATAGTGGTGTTATCCATAAGCTGTTCATCTTGTAACGTTTATTTATGTGTAATTCTCTGTACAATGTATGTCAAAATACTTCAACATCTGCCAAATAGGTATAACAAGAAGTCTCTACTCTCAGAGTTTCATTTGGATTCCAGTCCTCTTCTACTTTTTTTTTTTTTTTTTTTTTTTTTTTTTTTTTTTTTTTTTTTTTTTTTTTTTTTTCAAATTAGAGAGACTGGTTGTGGCAGCTGAACATTGTGAGAAGAGTCTGGAAGATTTGCTACGAGAAAGCAAGCCTGTCAGGTGAGGTGTCAAGCTAACTCAAATCCACTCATCACTATTTCACATATCATCTGTGGCAAAATCCTGGACCATCTTTTAACTTTACTGGTTTATCTAAATTTTACTCTGTTTAACCAAAGACCTTGTTTAGCAGATAAAAAATATGCACCCAAAGTGGGAGTACTAATTTCTGTGAAATTTTGTTATGGGAAACTTGCTTACAATTGAAAGAAATGCTTTGTAACTTAGAAAATACTGTAGTTTTGGGGTTTCCTTTCAAAAATAAAATCAGACCTATGACAGGATATAGAACTTTCCAAGAATTAATGTGAAGGTTAAGTCTGCTAGAAGATGAAATACAGCTTTCACTAGAACAGATAGAATTTTTGTGTGTGTTTTTTATTTGTAGAAATCTATTAATTTATCTTGTAGAAGGTGGACAAGATGTCAGATAATATGCCCTGTGTTTGTGTTAGCATTTTGTGAGCTTGGACTTGTATGACAGTGTGTGTTGCAGAGGGCTGTGGCTTGAGGAATGTTAGGGAAATACAGCTTCCATTTTTTCTTAAGATAAAGAGGTATTAGGTCTAAAGGGTTTTTCATGTGTGATATATGTTGTTGTTCTTCACAAAGTTTTGCATCAGATTCCTGTTGTGCAAAATTCCAGAAACAGATGAAGTGTCGGGAGCTCTTTTCATTCCTTATTTATGTAGTTCTCACACTGTTCTTTGAGCACGTGTGTCTTGGTGTCAGATGAGAAGCAGCCCAGACTGCCTGCTTCCTTCTAGACTGTTTTGGAGAAGGCTTCCATGTAGCTGTTTTAATTTGCTTTGAATTGCTTGATGCAGTATACTTATGTAGATTCCCTTTCAAAACTTCCTCAGATAGCAGATGTGCTCTATATGCACATGATTTTACCCTTTTATACTAGCATGTCTTTTGAAGCCTCCAGAAAGACTTTTTTGATCTTTTTAGATAGGCTGGTAAGGTATGCAACTTCAGGTTTTGGTGTGCTGAAAGAAGTTACTTCCTTCGTTTGTGATGTTAGTTCAGCTCTTTGGGCTGTGGCTCTGTTTAATATAGTTGCACAAAGCCTGGCTTTATTTTTTCCTCTTGTCTTGAGAGAGTTTTTGCTGTAGTAAATTGTTCTACTATTAGGTCTTTCTTTTAATGAGCCACTTGGGATTTCTTCTGGGTGTTGTAACACTTGAGGATAAGGGCTACAATATAGCCTGTATGTGTATCCGCAGATTTTAGACACATTAATGTTTCATCTACTGTGAATTACAGTTTTTGCAGTAATAGCTAAAGGATAAATTATGTTCACTTCAAATGATGTTTCTTGCAAGATTGACATTTTCCTTTTCCTTTTATTTTTTTATGAAACCAGAATTTTTTATTCCTATGGAGACCCAGAAACTTCCAGAGATAAGTTGGGAGGACCAATTCCCACTTATTAGTTATGTGATCTGTCTATATCAATTACCTTAGGAGGAAATATTTGGCTTTTTTATGAATTCTGATTCCATTGGTCAGTGATAGCATAGCTGGCTACACATCCGGAGCTGATGCGTGTGCTATTGCAATTAATTTTTGAAACTGCTTATGGAATGTGAGAAACTGCTCCTCTGGTTTCTAGATTAATTTTCCTTATGCTTGTCAGTAACCTAAGTTCTTTGCACCTGTACTACAAGCTGATGTGAAGTCAGCAGGAAATCTTCTATTATGTCAGTGCTGAAATTCAAGACATTACATTATGGACAGTCTATGTTTCTATACATTTTGGAAAACAGGCCATACAGCTGTTTGGTAGTTATTTGCAGTTAATCTTTGCTGAAGTCATGCATCAGGTGTAGCATACATTCCTTAATATATGCATTATATTTTAAAAAAAAAAGAAATGTAGCTATGTTCTTTCTTCAGTTATCTTCAGACTTTCCCCCGGTTTTCTAATTCTAATAAATCAGCTGCATGTAGGGGCCAAATACTGGAAATCAGAGCTTCAAGTGTTTGCTGCTGTGTTCTGTCACAGTGCAGAAAGTCGTTTTACTGAGCATACCATCAAACATTTGCTAGAAATCAGAGTTGTGACATATTCATGAATTCATTAATTACCTAACAATACTGGGTCAGCAGTCCCCAGGAATTGCAGAGATCGTTTGTCATTTCCTCAAAGGTAACATGCTCAACTTCATTTTCAAAGATTAGAGCAAGTAAGTGTTTGGTAATTTATGGTCAGATTATTTTCTGCTTTGAGTGTTGCATATTTGGGATCCTGGAATAAGCTATAAAAACTCTTCTTAGGTAAATGTTCCCTTCTGCTATAAGAACTCTTATCAGGTAAATTTCAAGAACTCTCAAAGGGAAGAAATGAGTGTCAGCTTTTCACAATTCTTACCACAGGTAAGCAGGTACTGAAAAGGAATTTATTACAGCTCTCTTGTGTTTTGGTTGTTTTTTTTTCAGAGGATAGTCATGTGGACATAGTAACTGCAGTTAATGCTTCTAAAAGTGGCATTAATCCAAATTTTCTTTACTGTGCTTCCATTGGGCATCTCAGTAACAGCAGGGAAGCTCTTTTGGAGTTGTGTGCAACAGGAAATTCAGGCTGCAATCATGGATAAGAGGGTATGATAAGGGTAGGATTAGAATTTTAGTCATTGATATAGGATAAGAATTTTAGGCATTGATCTCCCATTTTTCACCAGACTGCTGCCCACTGTCTTCCCTGAGAGAGATTGTAGTCCAGGTCGTTGTTTCCTGTTTGCATATTCTCAATTTAGTATCCTGTTTTTTGTTGTGCTCACTGAAAGGATGAACTTAATTTCAGTTTATAATAGTCACACTAGTGCAAAATCAGATCTCTGAAGTATGTTCAGGAGTCAGTTAAATGTTTTAAAGGCTGGGAATTTATGTACAGTCACACAGAAATAGTGAATACCTGATTTAAGCTCACAGTGGTTTATTGCTGTTCAGAGATTTGAAAATGTGTCTCAGTCTAGCTGGTTTCCTTTGTCTTCCTGTGCATACAAGGATTTTTTTCTTGTGAATGAATTGAAAATAAGTCTCAAAAAATTATGATGGGTAGATGTTTTATACTTTAACTGTCTCACTAAAATGGCAATCAAAATTTTATTTTTTCCAAGTTGCTAGTTGTTAGTGTTGCTACCAAAGACCAGAATGTAGGATGTACATTTATCTTTAAGGTTCTCCATCTTTTAAACACATTTCCAACTACTCCTTTGAGATACCTTTTCCAGACAGTGTTAAAGGAGTTATTTTCTCTGCTCCTGTGCTGTTATAAAAGGAGTTGTGAGCATTTCCTTTTCTGTCATACTTCAAGTGTGTTTCTTCTTTGAAGAAGTTGGTCTGCACTTCTATTCATAACAATAAAAATGCCAGAAAATACTGACATTCAGCAGACTTTTGGCACCTACAGTACAGTTTCTGGATTGGTCTTCAATTTGTGGCTTGGACGGTCTAAGTCCATTCCTTTCTTCAATAAAATATAGCTGTCATATGTTTTGAAAGTCATGGTATTGAAAAATTACTAGTGAACCATCAGATACAAGGTATAGTTTGTTATACATGGAACATTTGATGGGAAGCAGACTGTGTCTGCAGCTGTTTACTAGTTTGGAGAAAACATGATCTGATGGATTTGGATGAGTACATTTTATTTGGCTGTATTAAACAGTTGTCTGTTCACTGATTGGACTAGAGTTCTTCATGCCATCTTTGGTTTTAGTGTGCTTTTGGCAAACTTGGAGTGAGACTGTGGTACAGAAGTTATTAGATGAGGAGGAAAACAATTTCTGAGTATCTCTGCATTCTTCAAAAATGTTTGTAAAACAGGTGCAAGTCATCAAAAGGCCGAAGGTTTTACATTATTTGACTTGAAGAGCTGCATATGAGCAGAGCTTCATGGGCGGAGTGTATTCTGCTTTGAATCAAGTCTGTGTTGGAATTTCAGATGAGAAATCCGTATATCACAATAAGGCTGAATTTGGCAAGGATAAATTATGTAACAGTAAAATGAAGTAGCATTAATAAACAAAGGCTTTTTGTTTCCCCTAAGCATGTGTGAAGTTCTGTAGTTTGGACATTTAGTGTCTATAGGCTTTTTCTTTACTTTCTTGATAATGCTTTACTTGCAAAGGTATGATGAAAGATTATCTGTTAGTCTGGAATTGTTTATATATTGTCTAATTATGGTTTTCTTCTTATAGAATCACTGGTTTATTTTTGTAAGTAATGTTTAGCCTGACTGCAAATCTTCCTGTAGCATTCCTTTTAGCATAGGTTGTCTCCTATTATTGCCTGTACTCTCACAAGAAAACAATTGTTTGGAATGGAAAAGGGGTGCAGCTTGCATGAGGCATTAGAGGTGAACATTGTTCCTCGAGATGTTTTATTGATCATTTTAGGTATGGAACCAAATTCTTTGCTTGCATGTTTGGCTGCACTGTTTGATGGCAGCACAAGGACATTTCAGAACACATATGTGTCTCCTCCTTATATGTGAAACATAACAGTGAGTGCATGCTTGTTTCTTCTCTTGTCTCCTGGGGGGGGAAAAAAGTGAAGAATCCTACTCTTTGAGCTTGGTAGTGTCTGCCTCTTGCTATTAAAATGTGGATATGATAGCTGTATGTAATTGTCCTGATTTCAACTAATGTAGAGTTGATTTCCTTTCAGTAGCTGTTCCACTACATGTTTTGGATTCGGAATGAGAATGGTGTTGATAACACTGATGTTTTGGGTTTTTGCTATGCCGTGTTTATCCTGAGCCAAGGACATTTTTCCTTGGCTCATGCTCTGCCAGTGAGGAGGTACACAAAAGAAACTGGGAGGGAGCAAAGCTGGGAGAGGTGACCCAAACTGACCAGTGGGGTGTTCCACACCACATCATGGGCAGCATCAGCTGGGGCAGTTCCCTGGAGGGGAGGCCAGCCTGGGTCTGGGAAGGGGGCCTGGCATTGGTCAGTGGCTGGTGAGCAATTGCACTGTGCATCACTGGG